GTTTCCATAGAATACCTGTCTTAACATCATCCACAATAAGTTTTTTTACATTTTCTTTATGCATTGTATGATGGGACAATTAGTGTTCGCATATTCAAAGGTATATTTATTTTGCATCACTGTACACTTGAGTGAGTATGCTAAATGGTGTCAGTTTTCCAGTATAAATACACTACATACTTGAAATCAGGTTACAGTATGTAGTATGTATTTTGCACACTGAGTTGGTGTTGCCAGGGAAACCCTGGCTAACACATGACTTTGGTGTTACTGCATTTATCTTTTTCTTGAATATATAATATTCACGTACAAACACAATCAGTGATTACAGCTGATCCAACAAAGCCTTCAGCTGGGATTTTCCCTTTAGTGTTTTTGGTGGACAAATCTGGAGTAAATCTGCCCAATAATACTTTGGTGTGTCGCCAGCTGGAGAGTTGGCACCTAAGCACAGTCAGTCCAATAAGCAAATATTGGCCACACAACGACAGTGGATGAAAACCTGTGAGGATTGGCAGACTGTATATTTAATTGTGAGACAGGATACCGGATGAATAGATTAATGATTTGCTATTTTCACACAGTCCTTGGAATTTTAACAATCTCCTAGTGTTTTTTCCCCCAGGCTTTGTTTCAGAGCTGATGGCACCCCTACAGAGAATACCCTGGACAACAAGATCCTTTTGTGTATTCAAAACCACATGTTGTACACTGCTGTTGGCAAACTGTACTCATGAGTCCTACTAATTGCATTGTTTTTGAACAATTGTCTAAAATCCATATAATTCTTGATCAATCTTTATAGCATTTTATTATACAAGCAATGTCAACTTCACATAATAACAGTAGAAATACTTTTTGAAGGATCCAGTTGATCTCATCTTATTTATTTCAGTCTCATGTAGACATCTGGTCTGTTATTTTATTGTATGCATTTGAAAAGTGCAAATGTTGGCAGTTACAAATTACAAGTTAGGTTTCAAAAAGTTCTACATGTTACTAAGAAATGACTTAAGAATCCCAGTAGCAAAACAAAGATCTAAAACAGATAATATTCCTGTATGATCAATGCAAACATGCTTTTAATAAAAGCAAAAACATGTAGGCTGCTACACATTACAGTTTCAATCAGTCACAGACCAAATAGGGTTCCCTTATAATAACTGCAACGACTGAGATAATGAGATATGTTGCAGCTGTTTTGCCTCAGGACTAAATCATGTTTACTGCACCGCCTTTACTCTGTTCTTAAAAACATTATGTGTATTCAATGTGTGCAATAACCCCCAAGGTTAAAATGTATTTAATCTAGTATTCTTTCCATTTTGTCGGGCCATCGGGCCTGAACAATTATTTCTGAAAGAATAACATCTAACCTTCTTCACTGCCACAGTGAACTATTATGTGTTTAATGTTAAATAGTATAAGATTAAGAAATAATACATAAGGAGTGCTGTACAGTACCATTTTGGCAGTAGTGTTCAGCAGATGTAGACAAAAAGCCAAAAGCTGAGTGTCAGAATGACACCAGTGCCAATATCCCATTGCATAAAATAGTCCTATCCTCTGCATGAAGTAATACAGTATCATAATGAGACAGATGAACAATTGAATCTCTGAAACCTTTCAGGGCTTGAGATAATTTTAAGTGACTTAATGGTTTATTTATTTATTCAGTCATAATAATGTATTATCCATGGGAGTAATGGAGCTTCATCGGTCCCTGCCACCCCCTGGGGCAACAGATGTTTCACAGCCCCATATGGTGTCTTCATTTCTTTCATGGTCTCTTCCTGTCTTTCTCTGTAATCTCAGAATGTGTTGCTTTCCTGCTTTTACATAGAATAATGTAATGGGTCCACTAAACCAATTTAGGGTCAATGGATTTCAGAGGCCAAAATGAGATACATCAATGAGGTTGCTGGTCACAGTCTATGAAATTGAGTGATTCGGGAAAAATCGCAATATTGAGCTACAGCCTCTATTATACATCGAGAGAAGCCAATTTAGGTGGTTTAGATACCTTTTAGAGAAGACCCCAAGCACTTTGCAGGAGGTCTAGGCAACTGGAAGAAGACCAGTGTAGAGACAGAGGACACACTGGAGGCTTCATATCTCCCAGTTAGCTTAAGAAGAATGCATGTGGGCTATCCCATTTCTACATCGACACAGACCTAAATTCGAAGCTGAAAATCAATGGATGGATAGAATCAGGAATAATGTGACACAAAGACCCCACAAAGTCATGAGTAATTGGGGTTATTTTTTTATAATATTGTGTCTGGTCCTAATTGTGTTCTTTGACCTGAGAAGTCTAGGATTTTACTTTGATGTTTCCTACAACAATAGCATCATTATTCAAGAGGAGAGTGATTTTTGTGATTGTTTTTTTTTTGTCCGTCAGTGATTTTGGCCCCTGGTGTCTTCAGTGAAAGTGCCAGGCATTTTCAAGCTCAATAAAAGCTTAGCTCAGGGAGAGAAGTAGTGCGGATACATTTTGCAGCTGATTCATATTGCATAAGTTAAAAAAGGCTGTTCAAGCAGAACTCAAAAACAAATGCAAAACACTTTAAAGAAACAAAAGGAAATGTAATAAATGCAAAAGAAAAACCTTATACTTTAGGGAGTTTTACAAATTCTTACACATCCGCACTTCACAACCCTATCACCAGACAAGAACATCGATATTGGATGAGATATTACAAAAGCCTGGAATACATTTGATGACAAGTTTTTAGCTTCGCCAGCGGCATAGCTCTAGGGATAGCAGTGTCAGTCTGTCGGTTGGTTGGTCCACCACTTCCATCCAGACTGAAATATTTCAAGAGTTGTTGGATTTGATAGCTTGTCATTAAATATTATACAGACATTCATGATCCCCAGAAAACGAATCTTTCTCATTTTGGTGGTCCCCCGAATAATCCTCCTTCTGACAGTAGAGGTCCTACTTCTAAAGGTGCATTAGCCATATATCGGTCGCTGAAGCTATATTTTAACTGGACTTGGAGCAGCAAGTACAGCATCCTAGTCTACATCTTAACAAGGTGCCAGTCTGACTATAATAAGTACACCAGTATTTAGTCCTCTTTCATATTCACGTTTGGAGGATAGATATTAGTGGGTAAAAGCATACATACAAAAGGTTTGATAGATAGATAGATAGATAGATAGATAGATAGATATTCCTTTATTTGTCCCACAGTGGGGAAATTCGATTTTATGTGTGTTTACTAATAATAAATGTAGCTGTAGTGGAGGCAAGTGGTGTCTATGTACAGGAAATGTTGCTGGTTTGTGGGTGGTACTGAGAGGCCAGGCTGTAGCTAGATAGTATAGAGTTGATGGTACGGTATACTATAATTAGTATATAAAAAAGTATTTGGCAAACTAACACAAATTATTAGCGGGCTGGAGTAGTTCATTAGGGATTTAGCTTGGGAACTAAAGGCTGTCCAACACCTAATAGTCACTGACTTTTGTCTTGCACATGACCCGCACTGTGCATGTAAGCATAATTGTATGTGACTTCCTATGTGTAAATATGTGCACTTTGTACTTGAATAGCAAAATATACATGATACAGCTGGATGCTCAAAAAGCTAACTTTTCAAGGGTTTTATTATTATTTCAGAGAGTAACCCCGAATCAAAAACAATGAAGTAAAATAAAACATTTCAACTCTAGGTGGCTCCAAAATGAAAACGTCTTTTACAATTTTCTGATGTCTCACTTGAAATTGATCCTCTGACCAAGCTTGAACTATTAACACAAAATAGTTATATTATAGTATGTTGCCCTTCCAGAGGAAGAAGGTTGGTTATAAACTAGAATAAAAAAATAATTTGATTATATAGTAATCTCACAATCCAATATCTCTTTGATTGTTGATTGTTTATTTTATGTCTTTTCTATTTATAGAAAATTTATTTTTTATTGCCTGTTTGCACCGTGGGTCCGAGAGGACTGTAATTTCATCTGTGCTTTATGTTGTGCATATAGCATCTTTAGACAAGAAAGCTGACTTGACTTGATCTCCCATACACACACATTATCACATCATTACACTGTGTAAATATAAACCTTATAAATACCTACCCAGATGTGGCACAATATATAACAGACACAGCCACAGGAAGCCCACATTTCAACCCACAGTGGGCCCACACAGGCCCCACAAAGGCCTGTTAGCCGAGTATTTCAGAAACAGCGTTCAGCACAAATCTTTCAACATTACACACAGTACAAACTACAGAAAAATGAAGTAACAGACACAAGAGAGCAAATAATGGCACTGTGTCAACAAAAGAAGCCAGCTTCAAGCCTGGCCCTTGAGAAAATGTACAATATAGGATGAATGGAAAGATTAAAGTTGTTCATCTGCATTGTTTTGCATCCATTAATTTGCTCATTCCTCTGTGTAATATCCCTTTTATTTACCTGATTATATAATCCTTTCTAATCTTAGCATGTATTAAAATGCTTCAATTAAATTATCTTTTCCTATTTATGTGTCCAATTATAGCATATTCAAGCCCTCATATGGCCTACTCCCCTGCGCTTTCTCAAAATCAGGAATCTTGATTCTTGTTCAGGTCCTTGTTTTTGCTTTTTATATGCATAAAGCTTGACGTCAATGATGAACAAGTTCAAAGTTCATACATTCACAGCTGTCACTGAAGCACTTGTTACTGCTAATACTGTCCCTCTGTCCTCAGTCAACGTCATCTTATATGGAAGTTCATTGCATTCAATCTCAGAAACATTCAAATGCTCATTTACAGATTTCTGACTTGAACTCATGTCATTCATCTCCAAGTTTAACAATGTAGTCTTTGTTAGCTGTCAGCACTGAATATACTCTCCTGTGGAATGCTTCTGGACATAGTTGCAATTGCCTTCATTTTACACTAGAAATGTCCTTGTTCCGTCATGCAATAATATTACCTACTATTGTTATGTTGATGACACTCCTAACCTAACCTTTCTTTTCCCTCTGGCAGTACACAGTGTGAGGCATTCATTTGTGCTACACTGACATCTCTGAATGGATGCCTGCCCACCACCTCAAGCTCAGCCTTGACAAGAGTGAACTGCTCGTCTTTCACGGCTGCTTCTGCCCTCTGCAAGATCTTTCCATCATCACTAGCATCTCTACAGTGACCCCTGCTGCCTGTCAACAATTTCACTGTAATTCCTGACAACCAGCTGTCATTCATCAAACATTTGCCATCACAACCACAACTCACACCTATACACTTTCACTCCACATCAGCCAATTCAGAGCCTCACTAGAAACTCATCACCTCCTAGCTCTTTGTCTAGACTACTACTCCCAAACACCTTTTAGACTGTGTTTCATATGAGAAGCTACACTAGTGACCTCTGGGTGTGGCCAATAGACCAGTGGATGCAATTCATGGGGAACAAGTGACAGAAAAGACTAATAAATTAGCTCTTACTCACTATCTATGAAAAGTAAAACTCTTATTTCACTGAGGTTACTTTATTAATTGCAGACATCTTATCACATGAGTGCTTCCTCTTTGAGAAAGTGGAGCCTAAGCTGAGCTGTTCTTTATGAAGAAGTGGTATACAGTGCTGCCAGCTTTTGAATAAGCTGAGATAGGTGATGAACCCTCACAGAATTCACTGTGTTATGCAAGCACACTGTCAGCTGATGTCTTTCAAACAATAAAGGTGACTGATAAAAGGCTTTGACACAAAATTATGCCCTGAAACCAAAACTTAATTTTGAACAAGTATGTACATATAGAAACCTTTCTTTACCAAGCTTGTATGCTCCTTCTTACTCATCCTACTTTTGTATTGCATTTTTCTGTGTTTTTTAGGATCATGTTCCATTTAGTCTCTGCTACCAGGATGGCTTTAACCTTATTCCTTTTCTCTCATCGCCTGAGGCCAAAAGGTAAATGGAGGATTCTATCAGTCCAAACCCCAATGCTGCAAAAGGCTTTCAACTCCACCAATTGAACTCACACGCAGCAGAGCTGTCAAGCTAAGCTGCTGAGCCATGTGAAGGACCAGTGAGGGGGAAGGAAAAAGCAGACGCCATTACTGTCTGTTTATGCCAACCAGAAAAGGGAAGAAGGGAAAAAAACAGGGTCATTGAGCAGAATTGAAATTGTGCTGTGATGCAAACAAAGAAAGCCTAAGCTAGGAGGGCTATCATCGAAACCTCATCAGGTGCAGTAATTTCACTGTGCACTGGTTTGGTCAATTTAAAGGTGTTATTAGAGATCCATTATTTTCAAAATGCTTAAGGTACTAGGTGCATGTGCCCATATGAGAGTGAAACTTGCCCTCAGTTTGAGGTATAGAGCTACATTACCTAATTCCTTGTCACAATGTGTGTTATGGTCTTTTAGTGTCACGAAGGGCTATTGCTTCTCATTTGTCTGGACCAAGAGTACCCTGATCAAATTGTGACCATTTCTTTGAGAGTAGAAGACTTGCAAGTGTAACCAATTGCAAGTAATGGCAGCGTAACAGTAATGGGCTCAGCCTGCTTTGTTGCATCGGTAGTGTTTACAGGCCACTTCACAGAAACCAAGTGAAAGAAAGCTAAGTCCTTTAGACTCAGATAAAATGACATTGCTTTTGTTTGTTGAAACACAATGGTAACTATGAAAGGATGAAACGTTTCAGTAGAAGGGACCACAATGGTGAGATAATATTGTTTAATCATTGATGACTCTGAGGATATATTAAAATATATATATAATATATTAAAAAATCATGCGTGTTCTAAACATTCATTGTACTTTAGTGTATACTGCAAATAAACACATGACATACATTATAGTGAGTCCCTGCAATGTATTTCAGTGTTATGGCTATTTGTGTATTGGTGGGGAGATGCGTCAATAAGTTCTGCAGTGACCACTAAGTTAAAAACAGTATACAAATGAAAAAATAAAATATTCTGCAGATAGGCACAAATTTGTCATTTAAGGTATGTGAATAATTCAAGAAAAAGTTTAGTCAGCACACTGCTTTTCATTGACTGTGAGAAGCAATGTGTGTGTGTGTGTGTGTGTGTCTGTTTATTTTAACAGTGTGTTGCACGCCCAAATCTAAAATCATTCAAACACCACTCATGTAATATTCTTAAGCAGAATAAAGCCATCTCATTTTTATCTCATGGCAAGTGTGAGCTTTGAGAGGTCGGTGAATGGCTTGGAATATATCCTTCTTGCCTGATGCTAAAATGTTCAAATGATTTAAGCTTTAAGATGTACCGATAATATTTAGAAGTGCATTTTAGTAACTGTATAGTGGTATGCAAGACATGGTCTATTTCCTGTTTGAAGACACACACAGACTTGTATTAGCAGAAAATATGGTTTCAGTCACCCCCTACTTTTTAGTTTGAGCATTCAAATTTGTCATATTGCCCCAGGGCGTCTAGGAAAACAAGGCCTGTTAAGAGACTGTGTCCAGACGGCCTTCTGACTCTGCAGGAAAGCAGATGGTTTTTAATAATGCCCTACTCTCAGCTTCATGCCCCCCAGCTAGCTACAAATGCACACACATGCATACAATTTCTCTCTCTCTCTCTCTCTCTCTTTCTCTCTCTGTCTTTCTCTCTGTCTTTTTCTCTCTCTTTGTCTTTATCTCTCTCTTACACTCACTCACACACCTACACACACACACACACACACACAGAGAACCTCCTTGGTTAGTGTTTGCAGGTTTACAGCTTTCTTGGCAAATTGGACTTTTGTAAATATTCAGTCATGCATAAAAGTGATAAAGTTGATGCCATGATACCGTGGTCACAAAAAAACTGATTTAGAAAAGCAACATAACAAGCATTTTAAGACAATGCACATTGACCCTTGAGTTAGATATCTAGCGACCCAAGGACAGAGCCAACAACATACCCCACACATGAGGGCAAGCACAGTACTGGTACTGCCTGCAGTCACAGCCAGGGGCGTTTCAAGGACCTGAGGACCTCTGTATTTTGATAAGCAACCTCTATTTTATTTTAGTACATTATTTACATTCAAAGTACATGTCATAATCAATGAAAATTTTAAATGTTTACCATTCCAGATTAATTATGAATTGTGATATTAAAAATATTAGTCTTAGCATTGAGTAGAATATTCATTAAACATTTATCAATTTCTTGACAGAGTTACAAAAATGGTTAAAGAGGTACTCTTAATGTTTTTTGAGCTGTAAACTAAATTATATGACTGTACAGTGTTAATATTAACATTCTCATAATTTACGAGTATTGAGTTAACTGCTGAAGACTACTTTATGTTATAACAATATAAAAAAGAGTGTTAGTGCCCTTTTAGTGTGAGTCAGTGAAATCGCTGTATGGGCTGATTTATGTGTCAGTAGAAACTGAATTTGAATCATTTAGAACTGAATCTGAATTGCTCAACTTGAATAATTGCATTAAAAAACTGAATCTGAATAGCATAATTTTAATTTGAATGTATTAGTTTGAAACTGAATTCCAATAAACTTGAAACTGAATATAATATTATGAATCTGAATTCACTTGCAACTGAAACTGTATTTGAGCCTCACTAAAAATTCAACTTTTTATATACTTTAACTTTCAGTTCTCTAAATTCAATTTCAAACCACAAGATTCAACTTTTAAGGTCACAGACGGGTCAAGGTCGTTCAGTCAGAGCAATCGAGTGCAGATGCACAGAACTGCTTTTTGGCAAAGCAGCCACGTTTGTTTTTTACCATTTCCTGGACCTGTAGACATTGGCTAGAGAAAAACATGCTTGAAGGAGACATATAATTCCCCTTTTCAGGTTCATAATTGTATTTTGTTTTTTTTTTAATCTTGGTTTCGTGTGTGAACCACATCGTGTCGGACTGTTTTCACAACCTCGGTCAGTACAACAGTGGACTGGCTAAAAGACTGTTCCTGAAAGAGGGATTCATACCAACTGTCTGTGGAGAGACGGCAGAGGAAGTCACTGGAAGTATTTTTAAGAATTGATGCTTTGTTTTTCATTGTTCGTGTACCGCTAGCACATGCTAACCGCTGGTAGCTGCAGGAGCCTCAGTGATGCTAACATAGTTATTGTTTGTTAAATCTTTGTTAAATGTTTGTTAAATGTGTACAAGATCAACATGGAACTTATAAGGTGAAGTTAATGTATTAAGCCAGCTGGTGCAGATGTCTCCATATTCTCCTCTGCTGCTATTTTTTATAGAGATTCACACCAAGTTTATGCCGCGACTCACCAAGCTTCGTGCCGTAACTCCATAACTGTTGTGGGTTTTGTGACCGGGCTGAATTGGCTTTATGTTCGTCTGTATTTTGTAGAACAGGGAAGATAACGTCAGTTAGGTTTAATTGTCTTTAACGTGGTAACTTACATATCTGCTGGGTAGCTAAGTAGCTGTTCACCGTGTGGTTCAATACAGCTGTGGACAGAAGAAGACACCGTACGTGTGTGTGTGATTGTAGCTTTGATTAGCACACAGCAGCTCTGTGATGTCACTGTGTTACTATAGTTACTGAGTCAGTCGGACTTTATGTTGTAATATGAGGGGCAGTGTGATCGATAACCCTCGTTAGAAGCTACCAAAATACCGAGAGTGAGTTATTGGGATTATTTTCTGTTTGTGTAACTTGGTAATGTGCTAACCAGCTGGGGCTAGCTTCGTTGTTGTTTTCCAGAGACGGTGTGTGTGTGTGTGTGTGTGTAAATTAACTTGATCTATTTGCACGGGAGTTAACGACAGAGCCACTGTGAGAGAGAAACATTCAAACTGCAGGGATTCATTAGTTTAGTAATATTGTGTAACTTCGGTCACTAGGCTGTTTTGTGGAGTCAAACCATGACTAATAAAAGTTTTCTGATCCATATATTTAGCGTTACTGCAGTACTGGTATTACTGAAGATATAAGTGCAGGTCTAGTGTAACATCTCATACTCATATCATCTCCTTATTGTATAATAAACAACACTGAGGCTCACTGCTAAATGTCTGTTATTGCACCGGGAACTTGTCACAACATCAGCCACGATGAGCTGTTGTACTATATTATATGCTGCCTTACAAGTAACACTGAATCTGCCTTGTTTTACAGGTGACCTGATGAAGCTCAGGTGTTCCTGGACCCATCAGAGGACAGAGACAGCTGCAGCATAAAGACAGTCTGGGTATCCAAAGGAAGAGGCATCAGGATGAACACTGACCGCAGAGCTCCATTACCAGCTCACACTTGAGTATACTAGAAACCTAAGATACCTTGATGAAGGACACAATCTGCACAGTTAACGTAAAAGTTATAGCTTTCTTACTTATAACATGTGTAACTGGAATATGAATGAAACATAAATAAAGTGTTTTACTTTTAAGAATTGTTTTGGTCATTTTTAAATTCAGTAATAAGTGTGGTTTTATATAAATAACATGTTATTTCACAGAGGTTTTATGAAGATTTCCGGCATGTACAAGAGTTGAAAACCTGATTCACGGGCACCCGGTTAGCTCAGTTGGTAGAGCGGGCGACCCATGTACCGAGGCTGAGTCCTTGCTGCACTGGCCCAGAGTTCGAATCCAACCTGCGGCCCTTTGCTGCGTGTCATCCCCTCTCTCTGCCCCCCTTTCCTGTCTATCTTCAGCTGTCACTGTAATAAAGGCAATAAAAGCCCCAAAAATATACTTAAAAGAAAACCTGCTTTATGTAACATCTATCAATATGAAAATGTGAAATTTAAACCTGTAGTAAATGACTAAGCAACACAATACATTACTGTCTCACATTCAAACTTTATTATGTTGGAAGATGACATATGAAATAAAACGTAAAACATAATTGCAGCTTTTACACATATCTGAAGGTTAACTTTGGTAATAATACTTTCAAGTTAAAATATCAGACTATGAAATATGGATACAGTACAGTACAGTTGGTTACTTAGCAGTTTTTAAACCACATAAACAAGTTACAGTATTAGATGAGTAATTCCTTCAGTTATGTTGACATGTACAGGATAAAGTATTCCAGGCAGGTTTCTGCCTCATCATGGTAAGTTTCCATGGTCTCAATAAACTAATGTGTATAAAGTATATAACAGATGGTTGGTTACAGTAATCATCACACTATTACTCTGATTACTTTGGTACATTTACTGGCTGTTTCTTCACTAGAAACAACTGCTTGACTAATATTGTAAATATTATGTAATATATAATATGTTTAACTTCACTGGGCTGTGTAGACTGTAGGTCACTGCTCACTGCTGTACCTGTAAAGACAAGCATACAACACAGTGTTGGTTCTCATAATTAAGGTATAAACACTAACATTATGTGATAGATAGAGGTTAATATATATATATATATATATATTATATATAATATACAGCAGTATTTACCTGAGGAAAACGTCACAGAAAGCTGTAATCCTGATTGTTGATGTTGATATTTCTCCGTGATTTCAGGTCAGACTCCCACTCTGACATGTCTGGTGGTGAAGTTTTTGGTCAAGAAGCAGTTATTGAATTAATATTGACGGTGGAAATGCAGCTAAACTCAGTAGCAGTGAGCTACCTGCCCGCAATGCTTAAATTTGCTGAGCTAGCAGAATTGAGGGATGTACTTACACTTCCATTGTCAACATTAGTTTATTGCAATATTGAAACTGTTTTCTTCACACACACAATTTTCAAAAATAGTTAATGTAGTGTAGTGTGGTCTCTGTTCAC